CACATATAGCACTTTACAGCCTCTCTCTACTCTCTGACTTACAAAACGGGTTGCCTGCGTGGTTTCTGCTGCAGTGAATCTTCATTTCAATTGCAAACTGTGGCTATTAGTATTCCATAAATAACCATTTAGGCACTTGGGTTTCTCAGTAAAAGGAGAACTTAAAACGGGGCTGGACGTGATGCTCAGGATGGATGTTTTGGGAGAACCTGTGATTTTACCCAGAGGCTGTCAAATTCTGTCAGTGACCTGAGCTTATTTTATAATTGCCCCCAATATTCTTCACACACTTTTTTTCCTCTTTGTAACAAAGGCAGCCTTTGAAATTGCATTTTATTCTATACTTTCATTTTTTTCCTTTTTGGGCACAGTGGGATTCTTCTTGCTTAGGTACTAAAAAGCGATACACAATGGAATGGTTTCTCTTCAAGGAGTTATAGTAGCTTGTACCATGGGGACTTTTGGACCCTGCAGGATGGGCTGAAGGCTGGGTGCTGGGAGGGACCTCACTGCTCCACTTGGCCTGTATTCTTGGAGACCATCCTCTGGCTCTGTCTTGTTTTCCCTCCATCCATCCTCTCTTCTTGGCTCCAGTTTATTCATGTCAAACAAACGTGGATAAAGCTGGACTGCAGCAGGGTCACTGTAAAGCAGCTCACTCTGCTGAGGAGAGGAGCATGGTACTCACTATGGCTGAAGAACATGAAGGAATTTGGGACACACACACATGGCCAGTACATCTTGCTAGGATCTTTTCTGAGTGTTTTGAGAATTCTCAGGATTAAATGGGGCTTTCCAGTTGCCCTTCCTGTGAAGGAGGGTGGCCTCTCTCTTGGCATGACCATGGTTTTAATGCAGAGAAGTTGTTTTGGTTTTCCTCTTTTCCATTTTTCTCCTGATAGTTGAACGGGGCTGGTTCTAACCTAACTTTATAAAAAAGCCCTTCTATCTGTTGTGAAGGGCTGAAGGCATAATCACCACTTTCTCATTTAAAATTGCCTTTCAGATCTTACCTTTTCATTTCTTTTGTGAAAGTCTTCTGTGGCCTTTTGAGTGATGAGCAAACACAGATTCAGTAACACAGTTTCAGTAAAAGGCTATAAACTGTTCCCTGTGATTTTACAGAATATACATAATCCAAAATCATGGCATTGAAAGAGTAACCACATAACTACGCTTAACTTCTGTCAAGTTGGAGCTGTATCATAGAATCACAGACTGGTACGGTTTGGAAGAGACATTAAAGCTCATCCACTTCCAACCCCTTGCCATGGGCAGGGACACCTTCCACTACAGCAGCTTGCCCCAAGCCTCTGTGTCCAACCTGGCCTTGAACACTGCCAGGGATGGGGCAGCCACAGCTTCTCTGGGCACCCTGTGCCAGCGCCTCAGCACCCTCACAGGGAAGAGCTTCTGCCTAAGAGCTCATCTCAGTCTCCCCTCAGACAGCTTGTTGAGGAAATGGTTCTGGCTGGGGGATGTGGTTTACTTGTTCACTCTTAATGGTTTGCCTTAGTTTTAAAAGCTGTGCTTAGGTGAAAGAAAGCAAGGCATTCTTCTGCTCTGTTCAACCTGGATTGGTCCTGTACCTGGGGGGGCTGTTTTCTCCATGGGGAGCCACCAAGCTCAGCTGGGACAGATTGAGGTTCAGAACCCCATGAGTAGCACCAGCGGACAGCAAGAGGAATGGGGAGCAGACCTGCAGCCCAGCCTCGGAGTAGGGAGCACTGACTGTTGGAGAGGCTGAGAAGGTGATAAAGAGAGAGAACCACCTTTGTTTATCCCTACCTCCCTCTTCCCATGTTCACCAGGAATGGCAGTACTTGTTTTCTGACCCTTCTCTTTGCATCTTTCACACTCGGTGTGTTGAAGTTTCTGCTGTTGCAGGGCTGAACCTGCTTTGTTGTTGCATTTTTCATCTCCTCAGCTAGCTCTGGAGACTCAGTGCTCTTCTGGTATTTTTACTGTGCTCACTTTAAAGGAGAGGTGTAGGCAGATCCATCTCCCAGCTCTAGTTGACGCAGGATGCTGTCACATAAATCAGAGCATCAAAGTGTGTTTGCTATGGAGGAAGGTTTACTTTTAGATTATACTACCTTATTACCAAATACATTGCTCTCAGGCAAGTATGGGGAACCTTTTCTTTGCTAAGGGCTGTATAGACCTTTCAAGTAACTTTGACAAGCTATACATTAAATCGCACAGTTGTGTTTTTTACCCCTTCTGTTACTATTGACTAATTTTGCTGTGGGCTTTATGAAAAAAGAAGCTAGCAGTAGTCAGCCGGAGGGTTCCAGCTGCACCACATCAGCTTCACAAACTAATAAGCTTTCTCTTAATAGTGTCTATAAAGCTGATGCTGCTGGAGCTTTAATGTAATTTCTCAACTTGAAGTCAGATGCTGCCACAAATGCCTGCCATGCTTTGCAGCTGTGTCAGCCACTGCAAAGCAGCTCCATCTGGTGGAAGAGTTGGTAACTGAGGGTGTCTTTTGTCAGAGGATGGCCAGAAAATGCCACTGACCAGCAGCCCAACCAGGTCCCAGTTGCATGCATGCAACAGGATTTGGAAACTCAGAAAAACGGATTTCCTTGTGAATAGAAACTAAAATTTGTCAGATGTTGTATGGGCCATGGGAATTTTTTAGGAGAGTCTTGAGTGATGAAATCAAAGGACTCCCAACTATGGTAAAGCTTTGCTATTAATGGCCAAGTTAGAGGCACTGAAATGATTCATCTTTTGAGGTAGTAGTGCCTTCATCACTGATGGCTCATCATCAAAATGCCTTTTGGGAATGGGGTACTGTGGCAGTTGACCCTATCCAAGGCCAGGGAACAGATGAGTCAAACTTCCTCCCTTCCTGTCCCCTTACCTGGTGTTCCAGGAGCTCCAACTTTGAAAAGTAACAGTGGTCTAATGCATCCTCTCATGGTGCATACTGCCTCTGACCCTCAGCCTTTTTCCCTTTGACAAAGGGTTTTGAGGAATGGCATCACAGTGGTTGCACAGATGAGAGCTACAGCAGTGAAGGCATCCTAGTCCATGGGAAGGTCAGCAGTGCTGTTTGCTTTCATGGAGCAGTGCTTCAGGATCTAAGACTCTGAAGGGACTTGTTTTGGTGAAGGCATTTCTCCTGATACCAAATCTAAATGTCCCCTGGCACAACTTGAGGCCATTTCCTCTTCTCCTATCACCTGTTACTTGGGAGAAGAGACTGACTGCCACCTCGCTCCCCTTCTTTCAGGTACTGTAGAGACCTGTAAGATCATCCTTCTTCAAGGTTTTGAGAATTTACAGCTTATTAGAAATGTGGTTCTGAGTGAGGTCTGTAAGTGTTATGTTAGAGCTTATCTCCATCAAACTTTGAGGGAGAAGTCTCCCTCATGTCACTGGCACTTTATATGAGGGAGGGAGTGAGTAGGAAAACTGCTACTGACAGCATATAACAGTTTTTGCAAGCAGTTAAGGAGGAGATAGCTTTTGGCTCTGGAGAGAGTAAACGATTAGAAAATTACGGTCATTTGACAACAGAAAATCTATTTTTTGTCATTACTGTATATTGGAGAGATCAGTAAATGAGACTGTTTAAACCTTGATCAGTCACCAGCCCACACAGGCTTGCTTTCTTTCCTCTTTCTCTTCATTTAATTTCACTGCTGAGATTGACAGCTCCAAGTATGAAAGGCTTTAAATAGGTGATCATTCCCTTCTCAAGGATTTGCCTGGCTTTTTAGTTTTCAAATCTCATTTCAGAGCACATTGCATTAAAAGACACAATATTACCAAGCATTTTAATTACTTTTTTATATACAACCCATTCTTATCCGTTGCTGTTGCTTACAGACTCTGAGACACAGGGAAGTGCAGTAGCTTACTGGTGCAGTTCCACATTCCTTAATGGCATTACGCTTCAGAACATGAAGAGAAGTTACCCAGCTACAGCCGTGTGAACTCTGGGAAGCACAATGCAGCTTCTGGTGCCAGAATTACAGCTCATTGTAGGACTCTTCTTTTGAGAGTATCTCCACATCTGAAGAGCACTGAAGGGCCAGCTGGAGCTTGAGCTTCTTTTGTTGAAGAGAAGAGACCCATCATTGATTTGGGATGAAGATGAATGGGTTGCATTATGCTTTTAGGTGTTGCTCTTAATACTTGCTGCTGATGTAAAGTGTTGTTACTGGGCAGTGCAGGAGGGCAGAGCAAAACGGAGAGAGGGGATAAATGTACAGAGTTTCTAATAAGAAAGGTTGTTGATGAGGAAAGAATTGTTTTTTCTAATTGGAACGGATGGTGGGATCTTCCCATGGAAATTACCATTTCTAATTGACTGTAGGAGAGTGCTGGCTGTGGCTTTCCTGCACTGGGGTTGCTAGGGAATGTTGCTAGGCAACTACTCAGTGACGGAACCGACCTTTAAGATAAATATATGTATTTTTCCCCCATTTTGATGCTGGAGAGCAAACCTCTATTTTGTCTCTCGTGCTGGCCTTTCTCTGAGCACTAGGAGCTGTTTGGGCATAGACAGTGCTAAATAATAGCCTACTTAAGATTTGGCAAACTGTTTTGTAGGCACAACCTTTCTGTGTGTTCTCAGGAGCTCAATTTCTCTCTTGCAATGTAAGCAGCAAAAGTTGACAAATAATGGCTTGAATGATGTATCTGATGAATTTTGTGATCCTTATTGAATGAATCATTGAAGAAACATTCTTCACTGTTCACACAGCTACCAAGGGGCAGGCAGGGCAGAAGGAGAGCAGGAAAGGACTGTTGATGCAGTATGACATAGGATTTTAAAGGGCTCATGTTGATCAGGCCTTCTCATAAGAAGCCTGGTGGCACAGCCCAGAGCAGCCACTGGTTCCTTTGGGAGTGTTTTCCTTTCACCAGCTGTCTTTGAAGCAAATCCCTTTGTTTATTGTCATGTTCAAATGAATCATGGTCATAATTTTTGGAATGCTTTTGCCTGTGCAGAATGAATTGTCACATGTGTTTTTTTCCAGGAGAGCAGTTTGAATACTCTGGAAGGCTCATAATTTAAAAGTTCCTCTAGTTAAAGACAACTTGCAGAAAGCTACAGGCTGAAGCTTCAAAATGCAGAGGCTTGCTGAGAGAGCACAGTGCAGGTGTATGGGAGCCCTGTCTTTTGTCTACAGCCCTATCAAGGAGCTGATGAGGAAGGACAGCTTCTGCTCCATGGAAGTGCACAGGCAGAGGCTTGCATCCCTCAGTGATGGGCTGTGTGGCCTCTCTACAGCAAAAAAGCAGTGGAAAGGAGGAGGACGATGCTGAAAACTGAGGCAGAGCAAGTTGTTTTGTTGCTAGGAGCTGGATGGTGCTGTTCCCATGGCCAGCTCACAGGAGATTGGGGAAGTAAAGGCACAGGAAAGTGTGAACCACCTGTGAGCACCTCAGAAGAGGGAGAACAGGCTGCAGAGGAGGAAGAGGCAGGTTTTGCCTGGCTGTGAATAAGAATACTCACTGCCCATCTCTAAACTTCTCAGTAACTTCTCAGGTGTCCCTGGACTCTTGTGTAACCAGGCTTGGAGGATGCTATGCTTGCTTTCAAAACTGTTTTTGACATTCTGCTTCAGCCCTGCTGAACTTTAGATCTTTTCTTTCCCCAAACATTGCCCCTCCCATAGCCACTCTGTGCAGTGAACAGACCTGAGTTCTCACAGTGTGTTGCAGACACCCAGCTGAGGCAATGCTTATTTTGAAATAAACCCAGATATCTACCACTGTACTAATTGAAATAACCTGTTTGTTCTAAGCTTTAAGTTAGCTGATAGGGAGTTCCCAGTGCCTGCCTCTGCTGAGTTTGTTGCCAAGGAGGGTGTCCCTGGATTCTGCATTTCCAGAGCTCAGTCATTCAACAAACTGTCTTCGTGCATGAAAGAAAGATGGGCTCTTCCTGAGGTAATTTATCCATCCTTTGTATAGCATCTATTATAGTGTGGGGATTTACTTTCTCCTCTGGCTGTAGGTAGGTACCTGTGTCTGAGCACAGCACGGAGGTGAGAATGAGACTTGGGGCACAGTAGGACCTGTTCCTGCTATGGACAGCAAGGACTGGGAATGATTAGCATGAAACTGGATTTTGTGTTGCTCTAAGGCAGTAATGCAGCACAGAATTGACTAGCACATAATTTCATTCTTTCCCATTCCTTAAATAATAAGAGAGCTTCAATCCAGTATTGAAGGTGGCAACTGCTCCAGTGTGGTCATCGAAAAATGTCAGTGCTATGATTGACCTTTGTAAGGGAGCAGAATTCAGATTCAGTGAAGCAACCCAGGTCTTTACTGCTGCTGAGGTGGGAGATGGCTTACTAGCATTTGATTTTGTCCTTGCTTTTAGCTCTGGGAACAACAGTTGTTTTAAATTGGGCCATAATGGAGGACTGTGACAGGCTATTGTGTGGATATTCTATTGCTAGATTTTAAAATCTAATCAGGTTTATAACCTTCTGATTACAACAACAAAAAATAATTTGAATGTACAAATGGACTTTGTCAGTGTTCCTTGTTCAGAGAAAACAGCATGGGTGAATGCAGCATCTTACAGAGGCTAAAAGTTTGTTTGTGGAGAGTCTAGAGTCTGCAAATATTTCGCTCTCAGTACATGTGTAGTCACGATGAATTTAGGGCAAATCATGGAATAGAATCATTGAGGTTGCAAAAAGACCCCCAAGATCAAGTCCAGCTGTTAACCCAACACTGCCAAGGCCACTAAACCATGTCCTTTAGGGCCTCATCTACACATCTGTTAAATCCCTCCTGAGCCTTCTCTTCTACAGACTAACACCACCCCCCCCCACGTGCCTCAGCCATTCCCCATTGCACTTGTGCTCCAAGCCTTTCACCAGCTCTTGCTGCTCAGATCACCAAAACAAAGGGATCTGCAGCCACGGGCTCGGTCCCTGCTCTGCTGTTGCTCTTGAGCACACAATTTCACTTCCCTGGGCCTTCAGTTTCCCTCTCTGTAAAGGGACTGACCTTACTTGTCTGTTCAGATTAAGGACCTTAAGGAAATGCAAGAGACTTCCAAAACCCAGCAGGCTGTATTTGAATCCCTGTGTAGGAGCTTAATACAATTTTTGATGTTTTCCTAGCCACAATTGCACACAAATACTCATGTCTCTTCTGCAAAATAGATGCATTTGGGGAAATAATTGGCTGTGCTGTGAAGCTCAGTGGGATATGTACCAGTGCTAATAGATAATAGTAGTTGTACAGAATGATCCAGTTTTGGTTTGCCAGAGTGAGTATTGCCAGCCTTGAGGTTGACTTGTGTGGTGTTCTAAGCTCCAGGTTCTTTGCCATAATGTCAAAGCACTGATTCTTCATTATAATTACTATTATCAGTGTAAAACTTGGGTTCACTCTTCTCCTAACTCTACTTAAAGGAAGCTTCTAGCAAATGGAAGTTTTGGGCTTGAATAATACCAAGAGCTGGTCTTTGTTGGTTAACTAGTGCAGTTTGTAGAGGGTAGTAATGCAGATGCTAGCTCCAACTATGTTCTTGCAGGGGTGTAAGCAGGCAACCTAACTGGCAAATGAAAATGCTTACCTGCCCAAAGAGTCACCATAGCCTCCTCCTGCATCTTTCAGAGGCTTCTAAGATCCCAACACAACATGGGCTTTTGCTGTTTGAAGAAAACTGGTGTGTATTCTGTTGTTGTTTGCCTGAAGAAAATGACCTTGCTATAAAAAAGGCTAAATATTCCCGCCTGCTCCCAGAAATGCAGAAAGCTTATTGTTCTGCTCTAAATTTGTAAATGGAGCTAAAGAAATAGCCACATGGACAAAGCTTTAGGGCAGTACTTCACTTTCCTTATCTCCTCAAGTGATGAGAGTGGTAATAATGTCATGTAATATAAAGGCAGATCTAAGGGAGTTGAAGCTGGAGAGGCATGCTCGTGTCTGAGTACAAATAGCCTCAGGTTGTACCTGTTCAGCAGCAAAGGAGTCCTGACTCTGGTGAGTGATACTGCAAGAAGAGGATTATTCTGAAAGTACAGGTTTATCAAGTCCTTTTTTGTCAGGGATGTCAGATTCTGCAGAAATCCTGGCTTTCTGGATTTCTTCTATTTCACTGTTTGCAAAATTCTTACATTTTCCAGGTTTGTTTGGAGATAAGTAGTTTAAACCTCAAGTTTTGTTAGTGAACACCACCAAAGGAAACCTGGCATTTTCTAGTGGGAAAACTTCAAAAGCTCATATCTGCATCAATTTCTCCCTTTCAAAATTGTTCCACAGAAAGGAATTAAATGACACTTTTTGCAACTTCATTATTCCTGATCAGTGGCACCTACAACAACAGCAGGTTGTTTTCAGTCCAACTAACTGAAGAATCCTGACCTTGTGATTCCTTAAGTGACACAGAAATAACCTGGATCACCTGAATCTATGGGACGGGTGGTATGGAGAAAACCACAGGGGCCCACATCTGACTTCCACTGCTTTATAGAGAGCACTTTGGCCTAGAGGCAATTGTGTGGGGAGGGATGATGTTGTGCAAGTTGTGCTGATACCTTTAGTGCTCACCTTCTGAGGCTGCATTTAAAGAAACAGCAAAGTGAGAGGTTGCAAATAGGTGACACCCTTGAGCTTTACCCTGTGTTCAGTTCTACATCACTTCGAGGTTCACTCCCAGCCCTGTTGCCATACCAGCTCTCCAGCACTGCGGTTGAATTCAGCCCTTTCCCCTGCCTTGCCATGCTTCCATACTTTGAATGTGTGCTGGTTTTCACCGTGGTGCTCTCCCCAGCAAGGTAAGATCCTCCTACTGAGTAAGCCGTGCTGGGGCAGACCTATGTAAAGCAACCCACAGAGTTATTGCTGTGTTTCAGGTAGCTTTGCTAGCTCAGAACACACAGGGCTGCCCCAAAGGGCTCTGTGGCTCTTATTTTGCTTAGACTTTGAATACCCAAACCCTGAACCCCCTTTGGTACTCAGAAAACTAGTGAGGGCTTACAGTTCAACACAATCTTTTTTAGCCTCAGGCCTGGTGCAGTCTGTGTTCCAGCAAGAAGGTGTTCTCTGAAATTAGAACAAGTCTGTGATCAGTTTAATAGGATTAATGAGTTTAATATCTCCTGACAAACTGAATCCATCAAGATAGTAAAAGAGAGGACTTACTGGGCAATTAAATTGTTTTAGTCTTTAGACAGGGTCTTTAATGAACAATTGGTATGCACATACTGCCTGATACTATGTTTTAATACTAGATGATGAAATTATTTCTTGCCAGAAACTTCAAGTGTGGGAAACCAGAAAATATCTTTAAGCCTAAAACTGTTATTTAAATATTCATAAAAGAATATTGGAAAAATGCTAGAGAGCATATTGGGAACTCCACTTTCCTTTTTAAATAAGAAGTCTTGTTAGTTGGAAGACCAAGTATTCATTTTTCTATAAGAAATCAGAGGGTTTTCAACACTGGATTAGAGAGGCTTCTGGTTTTAGAAGTCCATGCTGAAGCATATCAAATGTATTGGTTAAAACTAAGAAACTGGCTGCAAACCTTCAGATCTAACATCTGTTCAAGACTGAACAGAACAAAGAAAACATAATGGCTGTGAACAATCTGAGGAAGAGAGTATTCTTTCATTTCTGAATAGTTTTTTCTGTACCATAGTCACTACAGTAACATTTGAACCCTTCCCCGTAGTAAATTAAATAATGGGGTTAACATCTGTATTCTCTTCTGTGCTTTCAGACAACAGAGAACTCGCCTCTCTTGCACAAGTGGCTCTCTTCCTTGGGCCACACTCAAGGTGGTTGTGTGTCACAGTACAGTGATCTCTTCCAAATGGCCTTTCTCTGCCTGTTTGCTTTTGATACAGTTGTTCACAGCCCTGTGTGAGGAGGCAGAGCAAACATGCAGAGTGCAGAAAGCAGGTAGGACTGGGAGGCTGCTCAATGTAAGTGCCTGCACCAGCATCTGACTCAAACCTGAGCAGAACCTCCCAAAGCCAACCTCTGAGCAATGTAAGAGGGCTCCCACATGCTTCATGTTAATGCTACTCATAAACATAGAGCCCCACACGCTAAGT